AAATTGTAGATTTAAAAAAAACTTATGCACAAACTTTGTAGATATATACAACTATTTACCTAAAAATGCGAACAATGCCTATGCCGTTTTTTGTACAAACATTTAAAACTACTCAACTACTAAAACAGAACAATTTATTTGGCACAAACAAGTTTGTGCCATTCCAAAAAATAGTTTGTTTGCCACAAGTGGCCTGGCCTGAAACCTTTATGTCTAACAACAGGAGGTGTATCACTCCTGTTTTACACCTGGAGACAGCGTTTACACAGCAATCTGCAGATTAGCATTGCTGCTAAAATGCCAGATTGTAGCTAGGCTTGAAGTGCCAGATTGGCATTTTAGCAGCAATCGTGACATTCACTAGTACTCTCATTATTTTGACAGCAAAATAAATAACCACATGTCACACTACCTACAAATAACAACACAACTAGGGGCAGATCTACAGGGGTGGCATGGGGTTCCACCTTAAAATAATCTCTTGCCATCTATAGTGACACCCCAGTTTTGCATTTGACAGTACATTTTTCCACCAATAGGAAAGGGGTGGCACTTTTTTCTGGTTTATTTTTGCGTTGTCCTTAGAAAATGCTGTTTGTACCATTTCTTCCTGCACTAAAAGTGACAATAGTATTGAGAAAAAAGCATTGTGTATTTTTTTTTTTTTAAATTAAAACCCTGGTTTTAGTGGCCCATAAACAAAATGTAAAAACAAGTATATAGTATGAAGTCTGAACTTTCAACACAAGTTGATGTGTCTCCGCATCTTGTTGCTATGTCAGCTTGAATCAGTTATGTGATTTAGAGACACCAGCGTGTCTGACGACCCTAGAGGGTTAATAACATTTACCTTCCTTCAATTTCCAGACTTACAATCAACTGCCTGTGTTGAAATCTAAAACAAACGTGAGCTCTGGCATAATCACAGGCGTCAGTTGTGACTGACAACAAGAAATAAAGTCATTCCACGCTACGGGCTGAACCATTTTTTATTGATTGCAATATATTCAGTTCTAGAATTTACATTCAGTGTTAATTGTAGCTAGGCTTGAAGTGTTAATGTTAGCTTATTTTAGTAAACAACTTTATCATATGCAAAACTAGATATGGAGCCGGAGTTATTACAGTCATTGTTTTTCAGTATGTTGCACTGTGTATACTATGCATTTGCTGTGTGTATCTGATCTGCGCATGTGCGGATAGATGACTCATGACTATAAAACAAATCTACTTGTCAGTATAAATAAAGTATCCGGAACCTGAAGCTGACCCATAAACAGGCCTTTTGCCAACTTTATTTTTATTTTCAAATTTTCCCACTGCTCTCACGGACAGCGGACATGCTTCCTCTGATAAAACCAGCTTTGTCTGCTCCAGTAGATGTTACTCCATATATATGTGTGTGTGTACTGTAGGTATTAATGTTTACCTGCTATTATCAGAGAATGCTAAGATTAACATCAAAGTGTTAGTCCACATTATCTGGATCATATTCAAAATAAACAGAGATTTGTTAGCTGTTAGTGTTTTCTAGTAGATAGGTGACGAGCTGTTGTGTTTATTTAGACAAACAAACGTCTGCTATATTTGAAACAAAACTAAACAAAACCCATCCACCCACCCCCCAAGAATGCAAAAATCAGATGTCCCAGTTTTATAATAGTACTGAACACAGCCTAGGTTTGTGTAGACATGTGGAGTCCCAATGTTCCCTCTAAACTGCGCGCTTGCGCAAT